ATCTCTTAGAACACCTGAAAATGAGAATCAAAGTAATTAGTAATCAGATATTAAGAATTAAGCTGAAAAACTTCAACTGTAGTTATGTTTGTAGGTTACTCTGTAGCTATGTTTGTAGGTAGCAGGTTACTCTTTTATACTTAAAAATAACCCCCCCCACCATCTGAATTCCCCATAAAATTAACAAATCTAAGAATTATCCCTTTAATCATATTTAATCATAGAGTTATTACACACTGTAGAACATACTGTTTCATAATCAGTGAGACATTGTATTTTCACACAACATAAAATGCACATGACCTTCATTTTAAGTTCAGCTCCTTCTTTAGTTTGAGGAACTTCAAATCATGTAGCTGCAGAGTCTGAACTTCTTTTAGTTACAAGTAGATTAGACATTATATTACCGTAGTAACTTTACTAACAGCAAAAATATATTTCACCTGAGCGAATTCAAATGAAACCAAAGTATTTTTACACTTTACCTTTTCTAATTAAGAAACTAGTACCAAGCATGCTTACTGCAGCCAAAGGAAAAGCTGTGAAGAAGAAAAGAAGTTGCTTAAAATATGATTTTCAGTATTTTCAGTCACATTTAACAAAATACGCGATAAAATGACAGTTGCTATGCCTTACTAAGCTTATTTGCATAAGAGTATAAGGAGATATATATAATTAACAAATTGTATATAAATTATCAAACATTCTCAACTCCAGTTTTTAAGACCTACTACAAATTATGTGGTACTGGTTAATGAGTCACCCTGTCAGCATTAGACTCCATACTTCCTAAAATACAAAAGCTAATGTCAGATGGGAAAGCTCTACAGATAAGACTCTCCAGGTCTAGCTACAACTACTACAGCACCAACGTGCAGAACTTTAGAGAGCATACACAGTTCTTCAGGACAGAAGGCATAAAGGCCAGTGCCCCTAAAAATTTTTGATAAGCCCAAGTCTTGACATTGTTTTAACATAAGAACTTGGGAAAAAGTTTAACTCTTACAGAGCTATAAATCAAATTGATTAAAATTAAGTAACATGTTCTATTCACCAGCAAACAGGGCAGCTTTTTCTGTAGCTTACGGGTCAAACTATACAACTTGGGGCTAGGGCCAGGAACGCAGAGAAGACAACAAACCTTGAAGACCTATCACATCACTGCCTATCACAATCAGCTTAGCAGTTTATGTCAATTTTATCATATTGAAAGACTTCAGGTGGCAAAAAGCATTTGCAGATCTCAAGAAACAAAAGTAATGCTTATTTCAAGAAATGATAATTATTATATTGTGAAAATTAACTTTGCAACTATTCATAAAGACCACCACCCCTACACAAGATGTAGGAACAATGAAATAACGAACATGACAGAAGACTAAAGTTAACTACATAAAAGATCTAGACATGCCATCATGAAATTTAATTTTATGCAAGTCTGAAAATGTAGAAGTTACAAAAAGGCTGTAGAAGTTACCTAGGAGAGAAATTTTTGCAACACCATTGGATGTTTATAGTGTTTTGATGCACAGGATTTGCTAATTAAGTTCATACCCAAAGACAAATGATATTTGTCACACTATTAAAATATACTCTGCAAATTAACAGTTTATTCCCTCACAAATTCTGAAAGACTAAACTAGGTAAGGAGTCCAACCAGCATTTCAGGGTAAATGTGACTGGATGTCACTTTTAAGAAAAAGTACGGAAGAAGAAAATAATGGAAAGCAGAAAATATCAATAGCACATAAGGATAGGAATATAATGTACCCTTATCAAAATGGTTTTATGGGGAAAAAGTTGTAGCAATATGATTTGATTTTGTTAGCGAGATTCAAAGTGCTAAAGCTGTAGATTGTAGTGTGAATTTTCAACAGTGTTAGAATTTATATTGTATGATAATGTGATTAACATTTAGTAACTCCAGTATAGCATATATTAGACTGAATTATGAAATGACTACCAATAGAAACTATGCCACAACACAGAGGGTTTGTAAGAATGGGTAAAAATTTGATACAGCTTGGAATTTGAATAAACAAACTGAAAATACACAAATTTATGGTAACATCAGTGAATAACAAAAACTGATTCACTACAAAGTGAGGATTTCAGGGCAGTCACACAGACAACCCATACCTCTCGCAAAAGGAAGTTCAAGCAATAGGTATTTAATATAGTCAATACAAAAATCTAAGGAAACAAAGACAGGAGACCTAGAAAATAGTGATAGGCTTTAGGCTATCCCTGAGATAACAGCACAGTACACACACTCCCTCCCTCTCATCCCCTCCAAAAATTCTCGGTTACTGTTGTAACTCCCTAAAGAGAAACGACATCAAGAAACTAAGTTAGGGCTTCTCAGTAGGACCTTCACGTTGTTTCCTCAGTGACTGTGCAAAGACCCACAGGGCAATGAGTTACACTGCCAAGCAGCAGAACACCTCTGGAACAGCAAACAACTCCCTCCCCTCTTTGTCTTCCAGAAGAGAGATTTTCAATAAACCATAACCAATTGTCATCATACCACTAACAGACCTGGCTCTTTTCACTTACACAAATATACAGAAAATGGCTACGTTTTAGCAAACATACTGAAGGTTTCCAAGTATTTGTATAAAAGTGGAAGAGAGTGTTGTTTTCTGCCAAAACAACAGAGAAAGACAAAGCATATATCTGATTCATTAATTCAAAATCACAATGCCTTAGAAGCTGCCTCTGAAAGTACTGACTTCCAGGAGAAATCAGAGCCCCAGTTTGCTAAATTTAGCAAATCAGCTGCTAAATTCTTCACCTGTCCTGGTTTCTGTCAAGCCACCTATCAGGAGTAGTCAATAAAAGAGCAGGTAACAATCACATCAGAAAGCCTGTTCAAACCTCACGACCAGGTGTACAAAAAAACAAGTATGCCACGGACTACAGAAATTATGCCCAAATGCCTGGCTTTGCAGAGACGCAGCAATTTTCTCCAAAATTTAAGCTGAGTGACTACTTATATGTTGTTCTCTTCACAACTCTTCATAAAGATGGAAAGCAATGGTTAGAAGTAAAGCTGTTTTATTCCTGCATGCTAAAAATAACAAAAACTGCAAATAAAAATGTAGAAATAACAAAAAAATCAGAAACATAAATAAACAAGAGATTCATCAATTAGATCTATTTTCAGACTTTTAATAAGCACATTAACTTAAAATATGAAGAGATCTTGTTGTCAAGAATAAAACTTAGAAATTACGTTGCACCTTTCATGAAACTCTGGCCTGCAAACTCTTAATAAGGTAAACACTACGTGGATCAGCATTTACTGGGATGCAATTTTAGACCATATGGAGCTTGTTGATGGACCACTGTGATACATTGACCCAGGCCTTCCTTAATGCCTCAGATAACAGCAAAAGGTAAGGGTAGAATAAAAGCAAACAAGTTTACCAAAAAAACCTGAACTTACCTCTATACCGGGCACTCTCTTCAGCACATTCCTTGAGGAGTCTTCTCTCCTCCTCTGTGGGCACATAAGGCTTAGGTACTTCCCTCTTTCATTAAAGAAATAAATTAGAAAAGAATGAGTAAAACAAAGGTTTTGGGGGATTTTTCAATAAAAAAAACTTAATGGCTAATTTTCAAACCTTGTAGTTTCTGCAGTTTCACCCATTTTCTGTACTTTAAAAACTAGTGGCTTTTGTCCATAAACGTCATGTGAAATATATAATTAAAAAAATCAGCACTTCTACAAACCACATGAGAGAGCAGAAAATACTTTGTGCACAGTCAGATCCCAACTCGGCTCACTCCTTTTTCTTCAGAAAAGCCTGCTTTGGTCCCTGCAAGTAGCCTTTCAAACAGATGAAATCTGACAGGTCAGGAAGTGCCTTCTTTAAGTATTTCTCAGGGTTTCAGTGACACAACAGGTGTTGTTGATTCCCACCTATGTATTCAGGGAGAGCTGCCCAGCTGTTCCCCCAGCACGTGAGAGGTTTGTGCTGGAGGTGTGTGACCCTCTCCCACCATGAGAGCTGTGCAGCCAGCCATGTTTCCAGACCACCAGCTGGCAGGGAGAGCTGTGGGAAAGCCCGTGGCACCAGGGGAAACACACAATCACAGGTCAATTAGGTTGGAAAAGACCTCTGAGATCACTGAGTTCAACCCATGGCTGAACACCAGCACATCAACTCCACACGGCACAAAGTGCCCAATCCAGTCCCTCCAGGGACGGTGACTCCACCACCTCCCTGGGCAGCCCATTCCAATGTCTAATCGCCCGTTCTGTGAAGAAATTTTTCCTGATGTCCAACCTAAACCTCTCCTGGCACAGCTTGATGCCATTTCCTCTTGTCCTGTCACTAGCTGCCTGGGAGAAGTGGCCAAGCCCCACTTTGCTACAACCTCCTTTCGTCATAGAGAGAGTGATAAGATCTCCCCTGGGCTTCCTCTTCTCCAGCCTAAACAACCTCAGCTCGCCCAGCCGCTTCTCACAGGACTTGTGCTCCAGACCCTTCACCAACTTCATTGCCCTTCTCCGGACACGCTGCAACACCTCGATATCCTTCTTGAAGTGAGGGGCTCAGAGCTGGACACGGCACTCAAGGTGCGGCCTCACCACAACCGAGTACACGGGGATGGTCACTGCCCTGATCCTGCCAGCCACACTGTTCCTGACACAAGCCAGGATGCCACTGGCCTTCCTGGCCACCTGGGCACACTGCTGGCTCGTTCTCAGATACGAACACCTCCTCAAGTCCTGCCGGGACCCCCCGCCCGGCCCCCGAGGCCTCAAGGGCACCGTGCCTGCGGGGAGCTCAGGGGAGGGGCGGCCGAGCGACTGACAGGAACCCCCGCTCTCCGGCCTCGGCCCCGAGCCCGAGCCCCCCGCGTTACCCCAGCAGGAGCACAGCCAGCCCCGGCAGGTGTGCCCAGCCCGGCCGAGCAGCGCAGTTACCTGGGCCGCGTCGCCGCCGGGCCCGGGGCCCTGCCCGGCCTCCATGGCCGCCCTGACCCGGAACTGCGCGCCGCGCCGCCGGCGCGCTGCGCATGCGCGGAGCGGCGAGTCCCGGGGAGGTCGGCCCTTCCCGGCCCGGCGGGATTGGCATGGGGATAACGCGGGACTGGCACGGGGATAACGCGGGACTGGCACAGGGATAACGCGGGATTGGCACAGGGATAACGCGGCACTGGCACAGGGATAACGCGGGATTGGCACAGGGATAACGCGGGACTGGCGCTGCTCGGCCTGGCGACCGGCTCCTTGGGCTTGATAGCGGGTAGCGAAAGTCTTCTGTCTGCCCGTGCCTGGCTCGAGTAGGTGTGTTGCCCACAGGTTTGTTAACCGGCTGCTAAAGATGCGTGGCCAGCATTTCCTAAAACGAAAAAGTCTTTTGCCTATAAAAAGAGTTTATCTGAATCGGGACTAAGCAAGGGCGTGGTGGGCAACTCTGAGCTCGAAAGTGATACAAATTTGGTAGTTAGGATTGTATGGAAGTGGAAGTGTAGGAGAATGCTTGCCTCTAGCTAATGCTGTGGAAATGGCAGCTTTAGCGGGTGCTTGCCGTTTATAGAAATCAGGAAAAGCTGAGGAAAAAACCAAAAATATGTTTTGTTAGTGCAGCGTATGCCTTGGCATTTTCTTGTAAACATGCAGTACTATGGCTTGAATTCACCACATCCTGAGCTGCCCGTACTTGCCCATGGAATGCACCACTCCCTTTTAGACTTTCCTAGAGCAAGCTATTGTCTCTTTATCCTGGAATTCATCTTAATTTGATGCTTTCTGGCTGTACAAAGAAGGGCTCATGCCTGAAGACAGGAGAGGGAAGGTTTTCAAGATTAAAGGTGTCTGAAATTAGTAGAGAATGCAACTATAGAAGGAACACTGTGAACGTGTGAAGAACCCAGACAGATGGACTAATGAAAGCTGTAGAGGAGATTGGTTTCTGAGGCTGGATTCTTGAAATAAGCTGGGTAGATGGAACCAGAAACTGTGGATAGTGGGGTTCTTAATTCATAGCTCTCATCATACCATAAATACATTCTTAATTTGCATGAGATTGGAAGTAATAGGTGTTGTCAGGCAGTCTTTAGCTCTGCCTTTCACCTGGGCCCATACTATTTAAGCACTGTCCAATGCCTGACCATCCATTATGCACATTATTAATTGGAGGGCAAAAGATTTTGGCCTTGTCAGCTCATGACTGTTTTATTTATGGGACTATAAGCACACTTATTAAAGCAATTTATTTCATGCTTTTCCCCTTATGTTTCAGTATATTTTAGGCAAAGAGTACAATGGGGTTTTAAAGTCTGCCTTTTTTGGGGGTAGGGGATGTTTATGAACTGCACATCCTCTAAACATGGAGCTTCAATGGGAAGGAAATGGCAATCAGCCTCCTTCACTGAAGAAATTAATAAGCTGCTGTTTTGCTTCTCCATTGTAAAATTAATAGTTATCCATTCAATTTCCTCACTTCACCATCTTCAAGTCCCTTAGACTTCTAATAAGAAAAAAAAATCTACAATCATACAGCAAACTGGTGTGTTTACCATCCTTTCAAAAATCTTATCTAGTACAGCCTGTTTCTGAGATATTGGAAAGGTTTCACCTGGCTACACACATCCATTTGTTCTCTTGGAACTGCAGCTGTAGGGCCATAGGCAGCACAGAGCATATCCACATTCTTAGCATTTTGTTCTCTGCACTCAAGCCCTTTTTTGAAGTTCATGCATAGAAAGAAATGTTAACAAGGACACAGTTTCTGACATCTGGTCTACCTCTATGAATTCCTTTCATCTTGTGAATGAAGATTTGGGAAGGGCTCTACCCACGCTTGCTACAAGCGCACTGATGGCTAAAAAGGCCAATGCGAGATAGACAAGTCCGGTAGCAGAAGGCACAGCAGAAAGACTCCCCAGGTGATATCGACGAGACGCGATTCTTCCTGCGCTGTCTTTTCTCCTCGAGAGTGATCCTGTGTGTGTTCTCAAAAGCAGCAGCAGCAGCGTTATAGATGGTGTGTCTCCAGGCCTCCCGACTGGAGGCCAGGGTAGACCAATGGTGGGGATCAATATGGCCAAGGCTAAGATACTGTTTTAGGGAGTCCTTGTATCTCCTCTTCAGGACTCCTCTCTTGCGGCAGCTGCTGCCGATGAATTCCTTTATACTCATGCCATCTTTCATGCAACTATGAGAATTTCAGTTTAAAATGGATCATGGTATCATCAAGTCCTTCTGAGAAACATAAAATGTTGCTCTCTGGCAAGGTTTAAGGCTAGATCTACAAAACTGATAGATAATTTGCTGTAAGCATGAAGTCATATTTTTGGACTGCTTTAGGAGTCAAATTTATTTTTAGATGTATTAAAACTCATTTATGTCTCTAAACTTTTTATCTTTTATGACAGTATCATTTAAGAAAGAAAACTATATTTGAGATTCAAAATACTGTAATACAGAAACTTCATAGCTAATATTTAGAAATTGGAAGTTATTTCTTGTGAAGTAGATGCCTCAAAGAAGGAAACAGAAAACTTTCAAAGGATAAGATTCTTTTAAAACGAACTGATTACTTATGGTTAGCAAGAACTTGGAAGGTGTGAAAGTCACATGGTTTCTAATTGCAGTATTTTGCAAAACAAAGTAACTGGTGAATATTCAGAACTCTTGAAGGTGGAGCTCAAAGAATTAGTAAGGTGAGTTATATGCAGTCTGTCAAGTGGTTCAAAAGCTTATCTTTCTGATAATTTTTTTACCCCCTTTTTAACAGTTAGTGTAAGGCTTTCTACAAATCCACTCAAAGAGGTGGCCTAACAAATTAGTTTAGTTTTACGATAATGTGTAAGACATAACTAAAACAAGTAGATGTGTAAAAGAGTAGGGGTAAAAGCTGATCTGGTAAGGAAAGTCACAGAACAAGTACTGCAAGTTTATGTACTCAAGTACATAGCTGGAATAGTGATTTTTTTTGTTTGGTTGTGGTTTTTTTGTTTGTTTGGTTTGGTTTTTTGTTATTGTTGTTTTTTGCTTGATGCTCTGGACAATATGGTAAAATGTAACAGCTGAGATGTTCTGGTCCCTCAGTGGCTGCCAAGGGTTAACAGGGCTGTGTTGGAAAAATCACTCTCTCCCTAACGAGAGAATGACAGCGCCTCATACCAAAAAAAAGAGCATTGTTGTAACTACTATAACTGGTGGCAAACAAAGAATCAGTTATTTGCCTGAAGCATTATGGCACATCAGCAAGAACCAAGAGTGGGTGTCTTTGTGGAGCTGATAGTCAAAGCCTCAATTAGTAAAGACTTTACCCACATAGATAATAATTGCTATTAACTAGTACCGTAATGTATTTTGTGAAGTACTTTACATGCTAACCAGTCCTTAGGGCTATTTTGTAAAGCAGGCAGGTAACAGGAGAATTTGGGTTTTGAAAGTAGTGTAACCGTACATCCTTTAAAGTTCAGGTGCTCAGGGTTAAATACCAGTGGTCTGATTTTCACTGGTGGTGAGGTTCTGCTGCTCCTCTCCATTCCATGGATATATATGCATTTTTTTGGGAAGATCAGGCTGAGCTCCTAACTCGGGATAACTTCAAAATCAGAACCAACATGTGATGTACTTTGCTTCAGCCAAATATCTGAAGTGATGCACAACACCAGTAGCAATGAATCCCGTTTTTCTTGTTAGGTGTGCTATCACCCAGCATTTAGACTGTGGTACAACTGTTAAAATACAATAAAAAATACTCCACAAAATGCTTAAATCTACAGGAAAGAGTTAAGTTCTTCTCAGCTACCAGTATGTCATTATGTTTTTTCCTCTCCAGCTTTCCTTTCCTAGGGTTTTTTGCAAGTTGATGTACATATCTGCCTTAAGGATGTGAAGCTCATGGACATAACTAGTTGAGCACGAAGGGACTTTTTACTCCAAGAAACCTAGAATTGTACAAAGTGTGTAACAGAACTTTAAACTTCTCCTACCAGAAGCTATACCAACTGTTGTGCTGGTGCATTTGTTGTTTGTAAAAAGCATAGTTTTCACTCAGTTCTGGTTTTGTTGGATATGCTTATTATAATACAGTACTTGCAAAACAGGCTTATGTTTAACTGTGGGAAAATGGTGACTTAGCATTCTTTCTAATACTGTTCTGCAGATCTTGTGTTATTTTATCATGCTCGACGTGTATTTATTTTTTTCTTCTTTCTCCCCTTTGTTTTCTTTTCAAGCCTGGAAGCTTTGAGGCAATTCAACAGAAAATAGAGTTACTTTTTAACTACTTAAAATGTTAATGTAGGTACTGTTTCTATTAACATTGTCTCCCAAATCTTTGCATTGTTTAAAAATACATTGTTACATCCAGCCACTCGACCTATTGTACTAGTGAAATCTTGTCCCGTCCCACCCAGCGCCAGCTGAATTTTCCGAGGGTGATGTTGGTAATTATCTCATTACTTTGCTTTGCTGCCAGTGTCACTTGCACTGCGATAAATCTTGCAGCTTGGCGCCGGTGGGAAGTGCGTGAAATCAAAGTGAAGTTCCAATGGCCATAGCAGCCCAACTGCTTTATGTGCTGTGCTGGGGCGGCGACAGCTTTCCCTTCCCTTCCCTGCCCTGCCCCCCAGGCTTCCCGGGAGCCAGGCTGCTCCTGCGGGGGAGCCCGGCGGCTGGCGTTGGTAGAACAACGCCAATAATTCCTGGCAAAAAGGCGGTATCTGAGCATTTGTGGAGCTGGCCGAGACACAAGTATTTGCCCTTTTTCGCTTGGGGGAAGGGCGGATTTTCCGACCGCTTCCTACGTGAGAAAGGAGCGCCCTGACGGCACGGGTACCCGCGGGGCCTCGGTAGCCAGGAAACTTCTCTGATGTTCTCCAGCCACGCTGCTGCTGCGTGCCCGGAAGGCGGTTTTATTCCCGGCTACCTTGATGATACCGGCCTTCTTAACGGCAGCGGTCGCTCCTGCTCTCGCCGGGGGCGCGGAGGCTTCCTTGGCCGCGCTGCTGCCAGGCAAGGGGGCGGCCCGGGGCGGGGTTCACGGCGCTGCCCGCAGCGAGGCCGCGGTGCCGGTGCCGGATCCGGCGGGGCGGCCCGGGGGGCGCGGTGCCCCGGGGCGCTGCCGGGGGCGGGACCGAGCGCCGCCTCGGCCTATGGCGGCCACGGGAAGAGGGCGGGCGCCGCCAATCGGAGCCTCGGCTCGCCCCTCGCGGGCTGGCGATTGGCCGAAACTCGGGGCGGGGGCGGGGCCGGAGGGCGGGCCGGACTCTCGGGAGCCAACGGGGCGGGGGCGCGGGGGCGGTGCCGCGTGAGTGCCGCGCGCCTGCCCCAGTGAGCGCGGGCGCGGGCGGGGCGGCGCGTGCCAATGGGGCGGCGGGGGGGGCGGGAGCGCCGCGCCGGGACGTCGAGGAGCCGGAGGGAGCGGCGGCCGAGGGATAAAGCCGGCGGGGGATGCCGGGGGCGAGAGTCGCTCCCCGGGGCCCAGCAGGGTCGCTCTGAGGGCGGGGGGGAGACGCGGCCGCGCTGAGGAGCAGGCGGTGGCGCCCGGGGCTGCGGCAGCTTCCAGCGGCGCGAGAGGTGAGGCGGCGGAGCCGGGACGCGGTCGTGGCTGATCGGGGAGAGGAGGGGAGTGCTCTGCCCCGGCGGGGACGGAGCCCGCGGGCTGTGCTGTGCGGCTCGCGGCGCTGGCTCGGCCCTGGCCCGCGCCGCTTTGTTTACGGCGGGGACGGGAGGGAGGGGAAGGAAGGGAGGGAGGGCAGCCTGTGGCCGGGCGGCCCTGCCCGCCGCCGCCGCGGGGGGACTCGCGGGACGGCGCTGAGGAGGGGCCGGCGGTGCTGCCTGCGCTCCGCACCTGGCGGCCGCCCCCCCGCCGGGCTCCGGCCCTGCTGCCCCGGGGACGCGGAGCCTCCCCCGGCCCCTCCGCGGCCCGCGCCCCGTCGTCTCCCGCCCTGTTCCGCCTCTTTCTCCCCTGCTCCGACCCCGCCCGTGCGTGCCCAGCCTTCTCAGCCTCTCAGCCGGCGGCCCCTGGAGCCCCCGGGGTGGGCGCGGCGCTCGCACGGCCCCGCGGGCCGAGCGGAAAGCGGCGGCCGCCGGCGGGCTCGTCCCGCCCCGCCCCTCGCCCGCACCCGCCCGGCCGGCCCCGGCCGCCCCCGCGGCAGCGGGGCCGCGCACCGCCGGGGCAGCCGTGGCCTTGGGGGATGGCAGCGCTGCGAACGGGCCAGGCTGGCCGGGAATGGCGGGACGGAGCGGGGAGGGTGGCACGGAGCCGGGCTTTGTTCCCGGCCCCGCCCCGCCGGGGAGTGCCGGGGGGCTCCGGCGGAGAAACGTGCGCCCCGGCCCCGGGTGGGAAGGGCGGTGCGGGCGGACAGCGACGCCCCCGGCAGCCTCTGCCGCCCGCCGCGCAGCTGTCCCGCTCCCTCGCCTTTGGGTGAAACTTGGGAGTTCGGAGCGGCAAAGAGATGCGTGTGTGCGCGTCCTGCCTGGCGTGTAGCGCCTCGCTGAAGGAGTCGCTCTGAGGTGCTGTTAGGACGAAGGTTGGCTTTTACAGTTTTTGAAGCGTCACAGGGACGTACTAACGTGGCTCTAAGTATTGGAAGGGCTTAATTAGCTTTCCTTCTCCACTTTCATATGTTTGTTTCTAGTATTTTGGTAATAAGGTAATTTTTGTTGCTCGGTGAGCAATTAATTTTTGTGTTTTGACCAGAAATCACTGGGCTGGCAATCAGGTTAGCTCCAGGTCAAACATCCTAAGGAATCAGATGGAAAACATACAAAAACCCCCCAAACCCAACAAAACCTCAAATATTTTGTTGGTCACTCATACCGAGTGAGTTGCAAAAGCAGTTTGCTGATATAGTTTTAAGGAATAGTAAGACAATCTGGAGATGAGGTAGCAAGAATGTAAACTGGACTTCCCTCAGAATTACAAATCTGAAATCAATGTTAGGAAAGAAATATACTAAACTGGAAAGCACGTTCTTCTTTAGTCCTTTGTGCACTGCCTATCTCCCAGCTGCAGTCTTCATGGAGTGAGAAAGACTTGGATAGGAAGCCACTTTCCTATAAATGCAGAAGTGAAAGAGCAAGGTGTTTGTGTTACTGAGGCAGCAGGTGAAGAGCCCACTTCTTGACAGGAACAAGACATATGAAGCATATAGAGTACTGTGATAAAGAAGGTGATTTGGTGACTGAGCATTGGGCAAAGAGAGAAATTAACTGTAGTTTCTTAAGAAGTATTTCCTCAATGTGTTTTTTCCTCGGTAGGGTGTTTCAGTCGCTTTGCTTTTGTGTATTACTGTCATGCTGAGGATATGTGCTGAATACTTCAGAATCTCTGTGGAAGATTGTTCACCAATTGCTGTGAAACCACACACTGATTCTTATCTTGTGACACTACTGCAGGAAGGAAACAAACCCCTCGGTAGAAATTGTGTTGCAGGTTTAGTAAGTCACGTATTTCAAGATGAGAATGATGCTCTGTGTCAAAAACTTCCTTTATCTGTGGTTTGTAGAGGTCCTTAGTGGTACTTGGTGTTGGTTGTCAGTAGACAACTGACTCCCCTGGGTGAATTGCTACTGTGAATGGCTTCTTATTTATATTCCAAAATTGATTTGGTTAAAGCCTGTACTAACTTCTCTGGAAGTGGTTTCCTTGGAGCAGAGCAGTGGTGTGTTGCTTTGGGATGTCATAGAAAACTGTTGCTGAACTTCATTTCAAAGGAAGAGTTGTTTAATTCTTCTCTGGGGTTAGTTAAGGTAAAGTTGGAATATTAAACTAATTCTGCTTCTGTTTGGCTGGCCTAAGTGAACCAAAGCATGGCGATAGCTGGTTCTCATAGCATAGTTCCTTTGAGGAGGGAAGTTAGAGTGTTGCAGAGCTCAAGAGTGGTCCTCACGTGTTTATTTCTCTGTGGATGTTTGTCTTTTTAATTTGGGGGGATAAAATTAATTGGTATGCTGAAAGTTTTCGCTAACACAGTTGAGAACACACTGTCTGTATTTACTTTTTCTAAGAACTTAAGAAGATTATAATTCCCTCCAGTGGCTATGCATCAAGGAAAAGAGCTTGGAAAAGAACACATTCTGCATCAAGCAGGAGTTGCCTATTTTATATCTAGCTTTGTTTTTCAGGGGGCTTTGTCTTGGTCATCTTGCCTAGTGATGACAACTCCATTATTGTGTAAGGGACCAAAAGACAATTTTGTGGTGGTTTTTTTGTTTGTTTGAGTTCCTTAAGAGGCATATAGGCAAACTTTCCGCTTCAGTGGACTTCCATAATACAGAACTTGGGTGTCTGATATGCTCCCTCTAGCTTAGAGTGCCATGAGCTTTTAGCAGTTTTTGTCTATATTTAAGCTTTAGTTTAACAGAAACTATATAATGTCAGAGGAAGGAGCTATGGGTTATGTGAGTTACTGTGACAAAAATGAGGATAATAGTTCAGGGTTTGTGACCTGTGTCTGTAGTCACTGGCCTGCTTTACCAGTAGGAAATTCAATGTAGCTTATCTGTCAGAGGGAGAGCAGCTGGCCTAGCACACAGCCTGGCTGTTGTTTACTGCTTTGTACTGCTTCTGCATGCTCTCACCCAAACAACTTTGAACCTTTACAACTTCTGTATCTATAATAATCCTCCCAGGAACAACAGTGGGCTGGAGAAGTGTTGCAATGTTACGAAGTTTTAGGATTCAGCGTTATTCTTGTCTGGTCTTGCTCTAAAACCCGGTAAACTTAAGTAATAGATGTTAGCCAGACTGACTCAGTTAGGGTTGCTACTGCCTTTTATATTGACTAAAAAAGCAGTTCTTTCTAGTATTTAGCTTGTTTATTTTAAGTGTTTGACAGTTAATTGTCTAAGTATCTGTGTACTGCCATACAGCTCTGTCTCTTCTAAGACATGTGTTGTCCTCCCTTCCTTCCTTCCTTCCCTCCCCTCCCCCAAATCTATTATAATCCCTAATTCCCTTGGACATGAACACGTCCCAGGAAGAATGACAAAATACACTCTCAGATAACAAGTGTCCAGTACTGTCATTGGAAGATATCATAAAGGAAAAAGTCCTCTCAAGCTAGTTGAACAACAGTGTTTGCTCTTGACGTGGCTTCAGTTTTGAGAGATTTTTGTATTTATCCCTAGTTCTTCTAGTGATCTATGTTTGCATGCAAAAATAGAGGAACAAATATTGAAAACAAACCCAAACCAAACTTCTAAAGTTGAGTTTGAGGTTCTCTGAGATGTCTAAATATTGCGATCTGATACAATGGCCTAGTGCCCAGAAGCTTTTGCTGTAAGCTTTGGGGTTTTCATGGTTTGTTCTTCACATGGGTATTCTGTGGGTATTCTTGCCTTGTCACCAGCTCTAATGAGAATTGTTTCTT